TTGGTGAGGGTGCAAGACCATCACTGGTTTTCCAGAGGCACTGCTGAAATCTGAGTCCACAAATACTGTTAGCTCCTGCCGTCAACTGTCAGTGGTGATCCTTGGGTATAAAAACAGATATTGCTCTAATTAGAATTTTTTTAGAGTGATTACTGAAAGGATCCCGAGGCATCTCATTGGAATGAAAGATGGGAAGTACAGTCAGACCTCCCAGGGACTGGTGTAGGGGTTGGAGCATTGCTGGGATCATGATGGCAAGCATCTTGGCCCCAGCCCTCCCTTGGGTGTCCATCTCTCTCTGTCACTCTCTGTCCCTGTGCACAGCTGTGTCATTCTTCTCCCCTTTGGTGGACCCCTTTCCTCAACTTACTCATCTGTTCCCACATAGCCCCTATAGCCAACCTCAGATGATGGCTGCCTCTATAAATGGATCTCAAACTTTGTGCTTGCATAACCCTAGAAGAAGTTTGAAAATCCATGTGCCACCTCACACATTTGTTTGCTGACATCTAAATTTTTTCGTCACAAGTTTATTTATTAATTTTTTTTTTTTTTTGAGATGGAGTCTTGCTCTGTTGCCCAGGCTAGAGTCTGTCTCTTATACACATCCTGCCTCAGCCTCCCAAGTAGCTGGGACTACAGGCATGTGCCACCATGCCCAGCTAATTTTTGTATATTTAGTAGAAATGAGGTTTCACCATGTTGGCCAGACTGGTCTTGAACTCCTGACCTCAGGTGATCTGCCCACCTTGGCCTCCCAAAGTGCTGAGATTATAGGCTTGAGTCACTGCACCCGACTTACAAGTTTAAATAGATACAAAGAATTCCATGTCCAACATATTTTAAATGTTGACAGTTTAAAAAAACTATTCAATGGAATCTAAATACAGTTCCATGGCAATCTGATTCCCACCATCATCTTTTTAAGAAGCACATGAATAAGCTTTTTTTTTAATAGACTTTATTTTTAGAACAGTTAGATTCACAGTCAAATTGGACAGAAATAGAAAGAGTGTCTATATATCCCCTGCCTTCGCACACATGCAGCTCCCCCCACTATCAACACCAGCATGGCACATTTGTCACAGTTGATGAATCTACGTTGACACATTATTATCACCCAAAGTCCAAAATTGATATTAATGTTCACTTTTGGTGATGTACAATAAGCTTTTTTCAACATTTGGGACATTTTATATTGTTCCTTTTTTCCCCCCTTTGAACTGTTTCCATTTCATTTTCTCCCCAAAGATTTATCCTATTGTAATATATTGATATGCTTAAAAGTCTTTTATTATTCTCTGTCCCATACTCCTCTTCAACTAATTATGTTTATAAATTGATGGGTGAGCTTTTCTTTTCTGTCACCATAGGAAACTTAAGGGTTAAAAAATTACAGTTGACCGAAACAACATAGAAACCTTTTTTTAATTATAAATGTTGATACTAATTAAACATGAAAAGTAAAAATGGGAGGCCAGGCACAGTGGCTTATGCCTATAACCCCAGCACTTTGGGCGGCCAAGGCAGGTGGATCACCTGAGGTCAGGAGTTCAAGATCAGCCTGGCCAACATGGTGAAATCTTGTCTCTACTAATAATACAAAAAAATTAGCTGGGCATGGTGGCACACACCTGTAATCCCAGCTACTCAGGAGGCTGAGGCAGGAGAATCGCTTGAACCTGGGAGGTGGAGGTTGCAGTGAGCCAACACTGTGCTGTTACACTCCAGCCTGGGTAACGAGAGTGAAACTCTATCTCCAAAAAGAAAGAAAGAAAGAAAGAAAAAATGGGGAGAAGGGACATCTCTTAATGTTAGAAACAGATGGAGCCATTTTCCCCCTGGTTAATTCCAGGATCAAAGGATGAAGTTCCGTATCAATTATATTCCAGTTTTTCATTTTTACAGATGTTAAGTACTTTGTATACTGAGAGACTTTGTTCATATAAATAAGTAGATGGGAACAGAAGAATTCCATTCAATTCTTTGAACTCCTTCCAAGGTACTAGCCAAAAGCCACAGGAGGATCAGTGATGATTCTTTTCATCCATCAGCTGACCAGATAATTAGGTACCTTCTATTATGTTGAAAGCAAAGAATTAGAATCTGCATGACTTCCAAAAGCTTTTGTGATGAGTTGTCTTCTTTCTCTGCGCTGGCGTTTCAAGTTGTCCTTTTGTTTAGGGCCTTTGAGCCTTACCCTGGGGCAGTAAGATTCTGTGTGGGTGCAGGTGCGATTTTCCTTTCTAACATGTGAAAAGGCAATTGTGAAAGGGGCCGTCCATTCTCAGACAGGTCCACTTTAGAAAATGGTACACTTCAAGACTGAGGATGTGACAATTTACACAGCACGCTCTTGGAGGGGCTTCATGTAATTATAGGACATGGAGGGACGGGGGGACACAGTTGAAAGACCCTTGGCCAAGGCCAACTATAGTGGCTCACATCTGTAATCTCAGCATTTTGGGAGGCCAAGGTGGGAGGATCACTTGAGGCTAGGAGTTCAAGACCAGCCTGGAAACACAGGAAACCCCATCTCTATAAAAAATCAAAATATAAATAAATTTCTTAAAAAAGGAAGCCCCTGGCCTTGAATGTTGGCTCACTGTGAGTGGCTCAGGCTCCCCCATGGTTAACTGTCCTCTGCTTTACAAAGCCATTGTGCCTATTATGAAATAATAATTTATGACATCATTTCTCATCTTCAATAGTCAGTAGGACCTAGGTGGGTGCCAGCACTCCAAACACAGTGCCCCCAAAATATGGCACCGTGGCATGCTGAGTACTTTAAACCAAAGGAGATTAGAAGGACCTAAGATGCCAGACAATCTCTGTGACCTTCTCCCACCCTCCTTTCTTCTTCCCCCACTTATCCCCTGAAGCAGGTTATAGAAACTCAACTTCTTCCCCCCAAAGCAAGCCACGAAACCTAGAAGGCTCACTCACTGACCTCTTCCCTTTGCCCCTGGAAGGTCCTCCTGTGGCAAGCGTCCTGCCCCATACCTGGTTGGGGGGGAGAATGTCACGCAGAGACACAGAAACAAAACAAACAGACCTCGCTGAGCTCCCCCAGTTTATTGCCATTAGATCATGTTTCTCCACAATTAACCACTTCTTTCATCAGATTGATGATGGAAAAAAACAAAACAAAACAAAACAAATTATGCCAAAATATTTAAAGAATATTAAATAATACTAAATAAAGAAGGTTATTCTGAGCCAATATGCGTGACCGAGTCCAGATGACACAGTATCAGGAGGTCCTGAAAAGTATGCATATGGCAGTTGTGGCTTGCAGTTTAGTTTTGTACATTTCAGGGAGACAGGAATTGCAGATAAAATCATAAATCAATATGTGGGAGGTATGCATTGGTTCCCAAAAAGGCAGGGCATCTCAAAGCAGAGGCTTAACATGTCATAGGTGGATTTTAGGGATTCTTGAGTTAGCAATTGGTTGAGAGAACTGAGCTTTGTCTAAAGACTTGAAGTCAGTAGAAAGGAATGCCTACGTGAAGATGAGAAGGTCTGCTGTCTATCGTGTGATACTGTACCGGAATCAGGTTGGAAAGTAAGCTCCACTCTACAGAGTTAATTAAAAACCCATTTCATGAGATTTTGTGGTTTGTAGGGTATGACTCCCCTGGCCCCTTAGAAAGGATTTGAGCAAGATTGCGTATAATCTATGCGTTTATTTTTCTTTCTTTTTTTTTTTTTTAAAAAACAATAAAAGGAAAGAAAAAAGGGAATCTTGGCAAGAGAGAAAAAACGTCAGGCACAGTGGCTCACACCTGTAATCCCCGCACTTCGGGAGGTAGGAGGATCACTTGAGCCCAGGAGTGTGAGACCAGACTGGGCAACATGTGAGACTTCATCTCTATAAAAAAATTTAAAATTAGCTGGGCGTGGTGATGCATCCCTGTAGTCCCAGCCACTCAAGATGCTAAGGTGGGAGGATCACTTGAGCCTGGAAGGTCGAGGCTGCAGTGGGCCATGATCATGCCACTGCATTCCAGCCTGGGTGACAGAGTGAGACCTGTCTCAAAAAAAAAAAAAAAAAAAGGTCAGAGTTCAGTGTTCAACTTAGCGTAAAAATACGTAGTTTGCTTCTTTGGATATTGATTTCTGAAGGCTCCTATGTCATGTAAAACTTTGGTTAGATGAATTTGTGTTGCGTTCCTCTTGTTACTCTCTCTTGTTATAGGGGTGTCAGCCATGACCTCTGCAATGGATGAGGAAAAGGTAAGACTTTTTCTCCCCTACAGAGGCTCTCTTGCCCAGGGAATGTGGTCTCTTTTGGGAAAGTGGGCTGGGGCAGTAGAACAGTGTTATCCTCATAAAGGCAGTTTTACTTTAAAAGCCTACTGTACAAAAATCAGTGACTTTGCCTGTGTAGGGGAGAAAGAACCATTTTCTAACCCATTGCTAGGCTTATGGCTGAGGTCACTATTGCAAAAGACAGATTAACAACAACCAAAAAAGCACACAAATTTATTTAATGTAAGTAACATAGGAGCTTTCAGAAATGAAGATCCTAAGAAACAGGAAGAACTGGGTATTTTTGTGGACAGTCGTGCAGAAGTGTGATTGCAGGACAAAAGTGTATGATCTAATGGAAATAAACTGGGGGAACTTGGCAAGGTCTGTTCCAATTCTTCTCTGGGCCCCTGTGTCTTCAGAGATAGGGACATCCCTTTCCTCTGGGTATAGGGTGGGTGCCTGTCTCACGAGGATCCTACGACTTACTTTAGAGAAGGGTCAGAGGATTCTTTTAAGACCTGCTTCAGAGGAGAAGGACAGGAAAAGGTCAGAGGGCTCTTCCTGCTTCTTCTGTTTTCTCAAATGACAAGGTGCCATAGTTTGGGATAGTGTGTCCTAAACCCTGACACCTGAAACCAAAATAGAGGTCTGAGAATTGAGGACGGAGTATGAACATGGAAAATCATTCCAGTATTCACATAAGCCATTCTTACTGCTAGAAGCCTAAAGAATCTCTTTTTCAGAAAAGGAATCTGTAAAGTCAGTTCATGTAAGGTACAACCTTATAAGAGGTAAAGTCAGTTCATGTAAGGTTGTGCCTCAAGTAAGTTCCTCAAATAAGTTCCTTATTATGCTACTTTTTATTTCTTCTAATAACTTTCTTTTGCTAACTTAAAAATAATATCTGGCCAGGTGTAGTGGCTCACGCCTGTAATCCCAGCACTTTGGGAGGCCAGGCAGGCATGTCACAAAGTCAGGAGATCAAGACCATCCTGGCCAACGTGGTGAAACCCCGTCTTTACTAAAAATACAAAAATTAGCCATGCATGGCGGCGTGTGCCTGTAGTCCCAGCTACTCAGGAGGCTGAGGCAGGAGAATCGCTTGAACCCGGGAGGTGGAAGTTGCAGTGAGCCGAGATCGCGACATTGCACTCTAGCCTGGGTGACAGAGTGAGACTCCATCTCAAAATATTAATAATAATAATATCAATTTATTATAAAAGGAAAAGTTGGAAAATTCAGAAAAATATAAGGAAGAAAATCTAAATCACCCATAATCTCACTCTTTAACAATAATCACTATTGATATTTTAGGCAACCCTTATTCCACAGATTATTCTGTTTCTTAACTGAAATTTGATGGTGATTATACTTTACTGGTGGCTGCATGAGTGAGGAGCAGAGACAGAAACACAGCTTCTTCTGCTCAGGTGTGGAAGGGCCTCAGCCACCAGCCTGGCAGCTATTGTGGGAGAAAAGTATTAATACCTTGTGGCATCATTCTTCCATTCCCTTCCAGCCTCCCTCAGCCCACCAAGGGCAGTCTCTGACCATCCAGGACCAGGTGTGATTAGAAGGAAAGTTACATAGTAATCACCTTTATGGTCCCCACCATGGGCTACTATGTTAAAGGAAGGTCTACCCATGACTTCGGTGCCCTGGATCTTCTCACCACCCAGTGTGGGTATGTGCGATTAGTCAGTGTATTGAGGCATGAAAGGCAACCTTAGAAGCCAGGCATGGTAGCTCACACCTGTAATCCCAACATTTTGGGAGGCAGAGAAGGAGGATCACTTGGACCCAGGAATTCAAGACCAGCCTGGACAACATAGGGAGATTCCAGTTTTGCAAAAAATCAAAAAATTAGCTGAGTGTGATGGCATGCACCTGTGGTCCCAGCTACTCAGGAGGCTGAAGTGGGAGGATCATTTGCACCCAGGAGTTCAAGGCTGCAGTGAGCTATGATCCACTGCCCTCCAGCCTGGGCAACAGAGCAAGAAAGACCTTGTCTCAAAAAAAAAAAAAAAAAACTACCTCAGAATCCCACTGGTTTGCAGAAACAGACATTTCCTCTCTCCTGGGTCTGCAGGTGGCCTGTCTTTAGCTCCAGAGTATAACTTAGACTTAGATTTAGGTAGTTCCATGTCCTTTTTTTTTTTTTTTTTTTTTAAGACGGAGTTTTGCTCCTGTGGCCCAGGCCAGAGTGCAATGGCACCATCTCAGCTCACTGCAACTTCTGCCTCCTGGGTTCAAGCCATTCTCCTGCCTCAGCCTGCCAAGTAGCTGAGATTACAGGCATGTGCCACCAGGCCCAGCTAATTTTGTCTTTTTAGTAGAGACGGGGTTTCACCATTTTGGCCAGGCTGATCTCGAATTCCTGACCTCAGGTGATCCACCAGCCTTGGCCTCTCAAAGTGCTGGGATTACAGTCCTGAGCCACTGCGTCCGGCCCCATGTGTCTCTGATTGGCCCCGGACAGCACAGACCTGTGACATATTCTTCTCACAGTCAATGACAAGAGTACAGGTGAATGACAGAAACACACTCTGCACCTCAAGCCCTCTGCTCAGAATCCATGCATCGTCCCGTCTGCCACGTTCTATTGGTCAAAGCAAGTCACATGACCAAACCCAACATAAGTGAAGCAAGGAAATAAGCTTCACCCACTCTGGGGAAAGTTACTGCCCAGTCACCTGACAGCAAGCAGAGAATTGGGAGTGATGGTCTGATCTGATCTTCACTCAGTGAGCTGCATTAACACCACAGCTCTAGCCTGACTGGCTGCTCACTGGTCCTCCAAAGACACCTCTGTGCCTCTGTGCATGCTTGTTCTCCTCCCTGGAAATCTATTCTCATTCTTTTTTCCCTAGCTGAACATTGAACAACTTTCAAGGCCTCCTTCAAACTTTGACCCCCTCTGTAAAGATTTTCTTGACCATCTCAGTCCATAGTTATTTTTTTCCTTCCTGAAAATCTCTACATGGTGGCTCATTTTGAATTTTTGTAGTCTCTTATATCTTCCCCATCAATAGATAAAGAGTCATCCGTCCATCTCGCTATGCTCTATCTGTATTTATCTTCTCCATGTGATAGCAGCCTTCTTAAGAACAGGGATTTGAGGCCGGGCATGGTGGCTCACACCTGTAATCTCAGCACTTTCGGAGGCCAAGGCACATGAATCACTTGAACTCAGGAGTTTGAAACCAGCCTGGACAACATAGCAAGACCCCATCTCTACAAAAAAATTTAAAAATTAGCTGACCGTGGTGGCATGTGCCTGTAGCCCCAGCTACTTGTGGGGCTGAGGTGAGAGAATTGCTTGAACCTGGGAGGCGGAGGTTGTGGTGAACTATGATCACGCCACTGCACTCCAGCCTGGGTGACAAAGTGAGATCATGTCCCTCCCCAAAAAAGGAACAGGGATGTTTTACATGTACAAAGGGCACTCGCAAATATTTCTTCATGACCTGATAACTGTTTGCTTGATTTACTCTTTATTCCAAGAAGATGTTTAAAAAGTATTTGCTGTTTCTTTCCTATCCAGCTGTTCCCAAATGTTGCACTCCCAGAAGCTGTGAGAAAAGACAGCAAGCTGTGACCAAGAGTCTCATTTCCCATTTTGAAGTTCCTTTATTATTCGACTCAGGTTTACCCAGTTTCCATTTGTAGGATATAATGACTAAATGTTGAGTTCTGCTCACTACTTCTCCAGAGCAGCCCGCATTGAGTGGGCGCCCACACCACAGGCGGAAGTTCCGATCCGAAAGCAATCAGTCTTATTATTCTAAGAATTATTCTTATTCTAAGGACTGCCCTCCTCTAGCACAGATTTACTTTGTGTTTTTTGCTGTTTCGTTAAAATAAAAAACAAAAATAGTGTAGCATGGTCACTTAGAAGGATATTCTGGAGCTGAAAAAGTCAGAAGCATGTCAGAGAAAGTTCTCAGAGAAAGGTACAGCTACGTATCCTGCCTCTTTAGGGCACCCTGGTGAAATGTGGCCCTTCACGGTTTAGACAGGTTCTTCCCTGCAGAGAGTGACAAATGTTCTGTCTTTCCCAGATGATGACAAACACTTGCTCTGGAGTCTTTTTTTTCTTTTCTTTTCTTTTCTTTTTTTTTTTTTTTTCCTGAGACCGAGTCTTGCTTTAACACCCAGGCTGGAGTGCAGTGGCACAATCTCAGCTCACTGCAACCTCCACCTCCCAGGCTCAAGTGATTCTCCTTCCTCAGCCTCCCTAGTAGTTGGGATTACAGGCGCCCACCACCAAACCCAAATAATTGTATTTTTAGTAGAGACAGGGTTTCGCCATGTTAGCCAGGCTGGTCTCGAACTCCTGACCTCAGGTGATCCACTCACCTCGGCCACCCAAGGTACTGGGATTACAGGCGTGAGCCACTGCCCCCGGGCTTGGAGTCTTCACTATGCTCTCTGTTCATGCTTCCAATTCATCATACATGATTCAAATATCTGGCCTTCCTAAGCCAAGGTTTGCTTTCTAGCAGCACCCTGAAATCACTCTTGTATGAATGGGCAAACTCGTGTTGGATCACATTTTTTGTTATTGTGGAAAAATATATGTAACACAGGACTTATCATCTTAACCATTTTCAAGTGTACCCTTCTGTGGTACTAAGTACATTCACATTGTTGTGCTAGATTCTCCCCTATGGTACTTAAAGCTTTCTTTTTCTTTTTTTTTTTTTTTTTTTTTTTTTTGAGGCAGGGCCCCACTATGTGGCCCAGACTGGACTCAAACACCTGGGCTCAAGCAATCTTCCCGCCTCAGCCTCTAGAGTAGCTGGGACTACAGGTGCATGCCATTGTGCCTGGCTCTGTACTCAGAGAATTTTAATACTGAGAAAAAGTATTTAATAACTTGGCCAGGCATGGTGGTTCATGTGTGTAATCCCAGCACTTTGGGAGGCCGAGGTGGGCAGATCACAAGGTCAGGCGATCGAGACCATCCTGGCCAATATGGTGAAACCCCGTCTCTACTAAAAATACAAAAATTACCCGGGCGTGGTGGTGCATGCCTGTAATCCCAGTTACTTGGGAGGCTAAAGCAGGAGAATTGCTTGAACCCGGAATTTGGAGGTTGCAGTGAGCTGAGATCGCACCACTGCACTCCACCCTGGCAACAGAGCAAGACTCCATCTCAAAAAAAAAAAAAATTATTTAATAACTCAACGTTCTGCCACTAATCGGCCTTGGGAAAATCACCTAATCTTCTGTTTCGTCGTCTGTAAAGTAACAAGGGCAGTGGTACCTGTGTTATCGGGTTCTTGTGAGGATGAAATGAAATCATGCCTGTAAAGCCTTAGCACAGGTTTCTGGCAGGTGCTACCTAATATGGCTAGTCGTGGTCTTCAAGCAAAACATTTAAAATTTAAATAGTTTTCTGAATTCTATATTATGACTGCACTAATTCATAATATAACATCCTTTCAACTAACAAGTAAAAGTTTAAAAGTCTTGGAAAAACATATTAAAATAAACTTTTTTCAATAAGAATTACCAAAAGAATTGTACTTGACCAGGCATGGTGGTTTATGCCTGTAATCCCAGCACTTTGAGAGGCTGAGGGATCAATTTGAGACCAGCCTGACCAACATAGCAAAATCCATCTCTACTTAAAAAAAAAAAAGTTAGCTGGGCAGGGTGGTGCACACCTGTAATCCCAGCTACTCGGGAGGATGAGGAAAGAGAATCCCTTGAACCGGGGAGGCAGAGGTTGCAGTGAGCCAAGATTGCACCACAGCACTCCAGCCCAGGCAACAGAGCAAGACTGTGTCTCAAAAAAAAAAAATTGTACTTGACGTATTTCCTCCTAAGTAGCTGGGACTACAGGCATGGTGGCACATGCCTGTAGTCCCAGCTACTTAGGAGGCTGAGTGAGGGAGATTACTTGAGCCCAGGAGTTCAAGGCTGCAGTGAACTATGATCATGTGACTGCACTCCAGCTTGGGTAACAGAGCAAGACCTTGTCTCTAAAAAAAAAAGCAAAGGAAAAGAAAAACTCAAACTTCAGTATGCATAAAAATCATCTGGAAAGCATATTGGAAGGCAGATTTCCAGGCCTCATCCCAGAGATTCCAGTGTAACCCAGGAACATGCATTGTATCAAGTTTCAAGGTGGTCTGGAAGTTATACTTGGAGAAATACTCCTATGGTGTAAATAAACACTTGTGCCTAGATTCGGGAGGGTCCTTAATTTAGTCACAGTGCTTCTGTGATACATTTTCTGCCTTTAATACATTTGTTATGTATGATTTTGTAAAACTCCATGTTTTTACATAAAATCCTCAGCACTTTAACTATAACAGTGGTCACTCATTATCTTCAGTGTGCATATGGATACCTCAGCTGTGCTTATTGCGTAAAAATTAGTCCTTGAGTGCTCGTGATTTTTTGGAAACTCACACACTTTATTTTTAGCCATCCCGTTGATATTCAGTATTAACAAAGTATGATCCAGAAATTAATACAAACCATGCTCAGAGACCACGAATCCACTTGTGAGTTCTTTTATTTTTTTATTTTCTTTTTTTGAGACAAGGCCTCACTCTGTTTCCCAGGCTGGAGTGCAGTGGCGTGATCATAGCTCACTGCAGCCTCGAACTCCTGGACTCAGGCAGTCCTCTAGCCTCAGCCTCCCGAGTAGATGAGACTACAGGCATGCATGCCGCCATGCCCAGCTAATTTTTTTATTATTATTTTTAGTAGAGACAGGGTCCTACTATGTTGCCCAGGCTGGTCTCAGACTCCAGGGCTCAAGCAATCCTCCTGCCTCAGCCTCCCAAAGTGGTGGGATTATGGGCATGAGCCACACCCAGCCTATGAGTGCTTTTAGCTCATAGTTCTCCCTGTCTTTGTTTAGGCTGGTTTTCTTTCCAGAAATGCCCTTTCTGCATCTTTCTGTCCTTAGAAGTTGCTAAATAGTAAACCTTGTGTTGTGATTAACCCAGGCAGTTCTTTTAAAAAATAAAAGAGGTCGCTAACATTTACTAACATCTATATTTCTGGATTCTCTTGATAAGCCAGAATCCTGCTACCCTACAAGGCCTTGAGCTGCCATGTGGCATCTGCCTGCCAGAGCAGTTCCCCTCTTGAGCATAGGACATGAGCTTGACCTTCACTCCAGCCTCCAGCTCTTGCCAGTGCCTTGAGGACTTCCAGCTTCCAGCATTTAACATGCATGGTGCACGCATGGACTTCAGCAATTAAATGATGTATTTTTCACTACTGTTTTCTATCTTCATTTTTTCATCGATTGTACACTATGGGAGAGTGAGGAGGTTTCACTCCTGCCTTGCCATGCGGTATCAGCATTTGGGAAGGCCCTGATGATTGATAGATAGCGTATGCTCTGGTTCCCTGTTTATTTCACACAATTAACATCTTCCTTCCTGCAAGACTGTGAGTTCCTTGCAGCGTCTAGCATGGTAATGAACACTTACTGATCTGATCTTTTAACATTTTATTTAGAATTTCTACTTGGATAACAGAGGAAAAAAAGAAAGCAAGGAAACCAATGAGAAAATGAATGCTAAGAACAAGGAATCCTTACTCGAGGTAAGGTTAATTTTGCAGAATGGAAGAAAAGAGAATGACGTTTGCTCTATCTATTTTTAAGTCATTTTCTTCCCAGAACAATGGAAAAATCTAAAGACACACTGAAATTTCAAATTGGGGTGTTAAAATCAAATTATTACTAAATTATAGCTGTTTAGATCATTCAACTGTTTTTCTTTTTTGAGTCATTTGTTACAACATGTGGCTTTAGACAAATGAAGTGGGATTCATAATTCTTGACTTTTAAAAAGACTTGACAAATCCTCATAAAACTCATCTTCTGGCATTCCATATGTTTCATTACTTAAGTGCTCCACAGAAGTCAGACATAAGACTTCCAAATCTTATTTAAAGGGACCTCTAAGATGCTCTCCCAACATCTCAGATGTGGTAGGAAGCATGAGATTTGGAGTCAGGGACCCGTTACAGGAGGTGGCACTGCCCAACACTGTTCATTTGCTAATGGGACAGTCCCCGCCCCCCTGAGAACCTCAGTTTCCGAATTGTATTGAATCATCACAGAGATTCAGGGAGCTGGCGAAAGCACTGTGTTGATGACCATACAGATGTCTGTGATGACCACTATTAGGGCGTGTTCCAGAAGTTCATTTGGCAATTGATTGTTTGGAAACTTCTAGTGAGTTTTCACGTGCTAAAAATCAAGGCTCTGAGCCTCGCATGGGGGCACACACCTGTAATCCCAGCTACTCAGGAAGCTGAGGTGGGAGGATCACTTAAGTCCAGGAGCTCAAGGCCAGCGGGGACAATAGAGCGAAAAACACCAAAAAAAAAAAAAAAAAAAAAAAAAAAACCGGGCTCTGTTTGCAGCACATAACACAGCTGAAATGAGTGCCAGATCTCAAGTCACAAATGGCCATGCTAGAGTTGCCCAGGTTGTATTTCCCTGAGACAATCCATGGACCTTTTCCTGAGTTAGTAAATTGCGGACCTCCCTTGAAAAATCAGAAGACCTGGTGATGCCCTCCGCCCCATTACCTGGAGCCAATTGGCTCATGCTGAAGAGCGCCCTCTCGCGTTCATTAAGGTTCCGCCCAGACCTTGCGCATGTCTATTGCCTGCTTGCTTTCACAGCCCAGTACCAAAGCAAGCAGCTACCACAGCCAGCTGTCACTCCCAAGATGCTGAGCTCAGGTGTTGCAGGTTCTGGTTCCTGGAAGCATGAGCACAGCGGGCATTTCCCAGGGAGGCACAACAAGAGAGTCCTTGTCCCAGGACTTCAGCAATGTTTTACAGCTGCATGTAAAAGAAAATACAAAGCGTGCTGTGCTATGAAAAATCATTATCCTGCTGTCTAATGGGGGTCAAAACCTGAATTTGAGAGATTATTAACAGGATGACTAATACTAGCCAAATTTGGGGAGAAATTGGGGAGTGTGAACAGAAATGTTTTCCAGCTCTACTACATAAAAATGTACTTGGAGGATGCAAAATCCAGTTATTTCACATTTATGAAACTAAATGAGAGGATATTGAAAGTTATAAAAAGAAAGTGAAACATAAATTTGACTATTTGAGTTGTAAAATAGAATAATATATAATTTTATTCTATTGATTTTTAAGACAAAATTTATTAAGAATTCTGTAATTCTATGCAAGTTTTGAGATTTAAAAATCTACATCTAGATGTGCTTTGTTATTCTTTTCTGATACTGATGTATTAATAACTGCCTTCTTCCATCTTTGAAAAGAAAACTATCCCAATAGTAAAATATTAACTTATTTATTTTTATTCTTTTTATTTTTAATTTTTGTGGGTACATAATATATATATATTTATAGGGCACATAATATATTTTGATATGGGCAAGGAATGTGACATAATCACATCATAGAGAATTGGGTATCCATCCCCTCAAGCACTTATCCTTTGTATTACAAACAATCCAATTACACTCTTTTAGTTATTTTTAAATGTACAATTAAGTTATTATTGACTATACTCACCCTGCTTTGCTTTCAAATAGTAGGTCTTATTCATTCTTTCTATTCTTTTGTACCCGTTAACTATCCTCCCCAATTTTATGTGTTGAATTATATATAATAATTGTTCTATTTACAAGCAATGAAATAGTAACTATTTTACTTACCAGGAAAGTAATAATTTTTCTGTCTTCCATTTTATAATAACATTAATTGCTTTTATTAAATGCTTACTTTTACAATATGCCAAGACTGTACCTACCTTATGAAGTTGGGCTATTATTATTCCATTTTGACAAGTAAGTGGACTGAGGTTTAATGGCCCACGGTCACAGAGCTAAGTGGTGAGGAGGCCTTGAGGCGTAACTCAGGAGCCAGGATTCTTGACCGATGTGTGATTCTTCCCCTTTTCTGGCAAATAGCATATAATATAAACATATGCATTCGATCAGAGCTATACACACAATTGACTTTTAGTTTAAAAGCTAATTTGCGAGTTTGTTTAAATGTGAATAAAAATGCGTGCTTTATCTTTCGTGTGTGTCTTGTGTCGTCGGAATCTCAATTTCAGGAAAGTTTCTGTGGAACATCTATCATTGTACCAGAACTGGAAGGAGCTCTTTATTTGAAAGAAGATGGAAAGAAATCCTGGAAAAGGCGCTATTTTCTTTTACGGGCTTCTGGAATTTATTATGTACCCAAAGGGAAGACTAAGGTCAGAAAAAAAAAAAAAACACTTAGCAATAAAGCATTTCATGAGCGTGAAACTAAAGAAATCCTTACGTGGCAAGTGAAATACATTCGCTGTTGCTGCAGATTCCATAATCCTGCAACATGTATACAAATAGGACAGTATTACTGAAATCTTCTTGAGTTTTTCCGTAGCTCTCTTGAAGGTAAAAGTATTTTATCTATTTTAAAGTCAGGTTTCAAAAATGATGGCAAAAGCAGTTTTCTAGAGATTATTTTGTTTCTTTACCTATCTATTTCCAAGGACTTTTTACCCCTGTAGTTCTATAGTCATTATAGTTAAATTTATTTTATCTGGAATCATAGAGGTATTAGAAGTCTTGATAAGATTTTTTTTTCTTTTTTCTTTTGAGATAGAGTCTCACTCTAACCAACAGGCTGGGGTACAGTGGCATGATCTTGACTAATTGCAACCTCTGGCTCCCAGGCTCAAGCCATCCTCCCACCTCAGCCTCCCAAGTAGCTGGGACTACAGGTGCATGGCACCACACCCAGCTAATTTTTCATATTTTTTGTAGAGATGGGTTTTCACCATGTTTCTTAGGCTGGTCTTGAACTCCTGAACTCAAGCAATCCGCCCGCCTCACTCAGCCTTCCCAAGTGCTGGGATTACAGGCATGAGTCACTGCACCGGCTCTGGACTAGATTTTCCTTGAGATTTTAGTCCTTAGACTCTGAATATTTTTAAATCGTTCTCTGAGGTGTACTCTGAATTTCCCTGCTTAATTTAGCAGGATATTTTAGACATCATTTAACTTTTACTTGGTGATTTGGGATTATTGCCTCAAATTTATATGTAATAAATTATTCCTTGAAATGCAATTTTAACTCTTATTCTGACCATCAACTCTCTCTAAGATCTTTCTTAGAGGATTAGGACATTTCACTCTTTTGTTCACCATTAATATATGTTTAATCTGTATCTTGGGTACGCAGAAGCATTTTGCCTTCCCTTCCAAATGCAGGGCACCACCAGTGGTATATTCATGCATTGCCAACTTCCTCTGATAAAGCTTAACCCACACTTCCAAGCCGATGAAGTTATGGTGAACGTCCAGGTCCGCTACCTCCAGTAAGGAGACTCTTGTCTCTGCCGGAAGGCAGGACGGGCATTATGGCTAACTCTTGGTCCAGGACAGCTACTGTTCTCCTTAGCCTCTTCCACTCTGCTCCCGGCCTTAGATCTGATGCTTTCCCATCTCTGTCATCTCATTCTAGTCCCACGCTGGGCACCTCACAACTGACCCACAAATAATTTGTGTTCTTTTTGAAATGTTTATGTCTTAGGCATTTGAATATAAATGGTACATATAAATAAACATATAACAAACAATATACTCTGTGATGAGAATTAAAAGTGTTTACATTTGGCCAGGTGTGGTGGTTCATGCTTGTAGTCCCAGCACTTTGGAAGCCTGAGGCAAGATGAATCACTTGAGGCCAGGAGTTCTAGACCAGCCTGGCCAACCTTGTGAAACCCCATCTCTACTGAAAATACAAAAATTAGCTGGGTGTGGTGGTGCACACTTGTAATCCCAGCTACTGGGGAGACTGAGGCATGAAAATCACTTGAACTTGGAAGGTGGAGGTTGCAGTAGCCTGAGATCATGCCACTGCACTCCAACCTGCATGAAAGAGCAAGACTATGTCTCCAAAAAAAAAAGTGTTTACAGTAGAATCGGACAAGAATACCTTCTCTCACTGTTACCATTAACACTGGGTTGAGGAACTAACTAGTACATTAAAGAGAAGAATAATAAGTATAACCAATAGAAAAGAAGAGGCAAAGACTGATTTTTCACAGTTGACATGATCGTCTACCAGCAATATGAGATACTCAGCTGAAAAACTGTTAGAACCAAATAAATGCATTAACTAAGAAAGTTTTTCTTTACACAAACACTATATATAATGCAAACTACAATGCAAAAGAATCCATGCAGACTAGAAACAGAAAATGCAAAATTCCTAACAATAAACTTAACAAGAAATGTTCCAGATCTATATGGCATAAAATTTAAAATTTATTAAGAGGAATGAAGTAGAACTGAATCAATAGAAAGGTACCATGTTGCAGGCCGGGCGCGGTGGCTCACGTCTGTAATCCCAGCACTTTGGGAGGCCGAGGCAGGCCCGAGGTCAGGAGTTTGAGACCAACCTGGCCAATATGGTGAAACACCGTCTCTACTAAAAATGCAAAAATTAGCTAGGCATGGTGGTGGGCCCCTATAATCCCGGCTACTTGGGAGGCTGAGGCAGAAGAATTGCTTGAACCCGGGAAGCAGAGATTGCAGTGAGCCAAGATCACGCCACTGCACTCCAGCCTGGGCGACAGAGTGAGATATCATCTCAAAAAAAAAAAGAAAAGAAAAAAGAAAAAAAAAGTAGAAGAAAAAGAAAAGAAAGGTACCATGTTGCTAAATGAAAAGTTATTCTTCCCAGTTTTCTATAAATTTAAGGTAATTTTAATAAAAATATCAGTAGGAGTTTATTTACTTGAAATTCACAGATTGATTCTAAAGTTCATGGAAAAAAGACACTCTTCCAAAATAGACCTTCCCAAAATTGTGAAGAACATCAAGGTAGATTTCCTGCCGTGCCAAAACATTAGATAAAAACAGCACGGCTAGAGACAAACAGGTCGACAGACAGCCATCTAATATAAGAGAAGTTAAAGTTAGAATTTTATATCACAGCAGTGGGGAAAGAATATGGTATTCAACAAATAGCATTGAAATAACTGTATATCCATTTAGAAATATAATTTCCTACCTCATTCCATGTACCAGACTAAATTATTGATTGGTTAAAATATCTTTAGAGAAACATGGTATAAAATTCTAGAAGAAAATAGAGGTTCGCTGGGTGTGGTGGCTCATGCCTATAATCCTAGCACTCTGGGAGGCCCAGGTGGGAGAATAGCTTGAGCCCAAGAGTTCAAGACCAGCCTGAGAAACATAGGGAGACCCAGTCTCTACAAAAAAAATAAAAAAATTAACAAGGATGGCGGCACATGCCTGTAGTCCCCACTACTTGGGAGGCTGATCGGGGAGGATCACTTGAGCCCAGGAGGTCAAGACTTCAGTGACCCGTGTTTATGCCACTATACTCTAGCTTAAGTGACAGAATGAGACCCTGAAAAAAAAAGAAAGAAAGAGAGAGAGAGAAGGAAGGAAGGAAGGAAGGAAGGAAGGAA